CAGAGATACGCACGATACCAGACCTCCGGACTTTTCGTTGGGCCCTGAAAACACATCTGTTTCATCTAGCCAGCCTGGCTTGATCCCATCCCTTCGGTTTTAATTTGTAATTTGTAATTGGTTTTAACTGGGCTGTTTTATATTTGATAGCCAAAATTATTTAAAAAATAATTATTTTTTAAACTGTTTTTAAATTTTGTATGTTACGTTTTATCATGGCTGTTCACCGCCCTGAGTCCTATTGGAGAAGGGCGGTATACAAATTAAATTAATTAAATAATTAATTAATTAAATAAATAAATAAATAAATAAATAAATAAATAAAATGTCAGAAATGGTGTAGGGAGGTTGGACTAGATGACCTACAAGGTGCCTTCCAACTCTGTTAATGTGTACCTTAGGAGGTTGATAAATTACAAAAAGAAAGGTGGTCTAGCAATTCCTGCCACTGTGATACGTTTATTTCTAATTCTCGAAGGACTTTAACAGAAGTGCTTCTTGTAAAGGCAAATTTGGAGGAGCACCTAGCAGAACAAGACAACCAGAGGAAGCTATGCTGGCTGACAGCAACTTCAACCTGCTATTCTGCTCTCCATGTTGTGGAAGGACACAAAAATAACCCAGTCCAAACAAGTGGGGGGGGGGAAGAAGGAGAGAGAACTCTGTACACCCACTTCACTTCCTGAAGGCGAGAATACAAGTCTAATAACTTTTCCTTTTCTTACTTGATTTAGAGGTTCAGCCACTGTTTGATCGCCGTCATAAAAACCAGAAAATTTCATTCTTTGTTTCTCTGTAAGGAATAAATAATTTCAAAATAATTAACAAAATATTTATTTTATTGATTTTTTTAGACAATTTATATGCCGCCTATTCGCACATGACGACTCAAGGTGGCTTACAAAATATTAAACCAATATTAAAATAAGAAAACTAATAAAAGGAGAATTATATAATACATTAAAATAATAAAATCACCCCCATCCCCTGCCCCGGAAAAAACATCTCACAGGAGCCGTTTGATGGGCTCAATCCCGTTCTGGGTTTCCCAGGCCCCCTGGCAGAACCAGGTCTTCAATGCCTTCTGGAAGAGTGCTACTGTGGGGGGCATTCTAATCTCTGGGGGGATGATTGTCCAGACAAAGGGAGCCGCCACGGAGAAAACCCTTCTTCTGGGTCTCACCAGGTGTGTCTTCATAGGGGATGGCAGCCGCAACATTCCCTGCCTCCGCACTCTGGTGTGTCGGGCAGATGTAACTAGTAAGAGACGGTCCCTCAGATAACCTAGTCCCCAGCCATGGAGGGCTTTATAGATGACAACCAGCACCTTGAATTGCACCAGGAAGGAAATTGGCAGCCAATGAAGCTCCTGCAGGTGAGGTGTTACTTGTGCACACCAGGGTCTGCAGAAAACAATGCGGCCCGCTGCATTTTGCACCAACTGAAGCTTCCACATGCTCGTCAAGGACAGCCCCTTGTAGAGCGTGTTGCAATAGTCAAGACGGGAAGTGATTAGGGCATGCGTGACTGTTGTCGATCCAGGAAGGGCTGTTTCTGTCGCACAACCCATAGTTACGCAAAGACCCTCTTGCACACAACCGCCACCTGCTTTTCGAGCAGGGGTTGTGAGTCCAGGAGGACCCACAGATTACGCACAGGGTATGTTTGGGGTAGTGTCACCTCATCCAAGACCAGAAGTGGCAATTCTCCCCTGGCCAACGAACCCCAAACCCAGAGCCACTCCATCTTGCCAGGCTTTAGTTTCAACCCATTGCTCCCCATCAGCTGTTCTGTCCCCGTCTCACACATGCACACAAACAGTCAGCCAGGGGTTAAATAAAACTTGCAGACAACAAATTCCTTCGATATGAGGATTGGCAGCAACCCAGTAGCTGCTTGCCAAGAATTTTACTCATAGATGGAGGGGTTGTTCCTCCGCCAGATAAACCAAAACAATATACACACAGTCAAAGAATTGTCAAGTGCAGTCCGTATTAAATCCAAGGCAGATAACATTGTTTCAAAGATACAATGTGATTCGCTAGTAGTTTAGTTTTGTCCATCACAGAGTCTGAATGGCCACCTCACCCCCTTTTATCCCCTGTGGGGTGAGGTCCAGTGACCCAGCTTAATCTCTGGCACGCCTCCTTTTCTGCTGCGTGCACTTGTCTCTCCGACGCTGGTGTGGAGCCAGCCAAGACTTATCTCCGTCACTGTCCGACTGCGAGGAGATACCTGGCTCCTGGCCAATCTCTTCTCCTTCGGGAGACACCTGAGGCATTGACAGAGAGGAGGGTCCTGGAGAGGGAGGCCTGGCCTCTACTTCATGTTCGGAGCCTTCTCCCTCCTATAAGTCGGCCTCGGGGGTCAGAGTCACAACATCAGCTCCTAACAGCCTCCAGGCACTGCGATAGGGAGGACATGGCATTGCTTAACCCACCACAGGCCAAGACATACAGCTCAGTATCATCATCATATTGGTGATATCTCAGGCCATACTGACAGATTATCTCAATGGCTGCAGAGGAAGGAAGTGAGGCAGATAGCACAAGGCCTCCCACTCCCATCATGCGAAGCCGTCCCAGGAGAATACCATGGTTGATGGTATCGAAAGCCACCGAGAGGTCAAGTAGAGCAAGGATGGATGCCCCACTCACATCCCGCTCTCGCCAGAGATCATACAAAAGCGCGGCCAATGACGATTCTGTCCCAAATCCAGGCCTGAATCTTGACTGGCAGGGGTCCCACCTGTCAATGACTCCTTCAGCTTCAACCACAACAATACACAAGCACACAATAGATACAAAGTTATGGTAAACTGCGCTAAACTTGATTGCAGAAAATATGACTTCAGTAACAGAGCCACTAATGCCTGGAATGCACTACCGGACTTTGTGGTTTCTTTCCCTAACCCCCAAACATTAACCTTAGACCATCTACTGTCGATCTGACCCCATTCCTAAGAGGTCTCTAAGGCAAGTGCATAAGCGCACCAGCTCCCCAAAAAGGGAATATTGGAGACAGGTTGGAAATTATATATATACACATACACACACACACACACAAGTTTTGGTGCACCAGCCTGAAGATGACGAGTGGGACCTCGTCGAAACGTCACCAAAATACTCTCAAATAACCTCTGGAGCTGCGGCATAACCACCTTCTCACCCAATTTCCCAAAAAGGGAAGATTGGAGACAGGTTGGAAATTAAGAAGAGGGTGGACCACAGACTCCTTCAAATGCTGGGGCACTGCCCCCTCCTATAGGGAAGCATTAATGACCGCCTGTCATCTCCCGGGAAGCTTTCCCAAGCCAGGTGGGGCATGGGTCTAAAACACAGGTGCTTGCACCCACCCATACTCCCTAAGATCCTGTCCACTTCCTCAGGAGCAACAGGGTCAAACCGTTCCCAGATATCAGAGCAAGAACCTGTCTCAGAGGCTTCCACCGGACCAGCAACCACGCCGGCATCCAACTGGGAACAAAGTCGAGCGATTTTGACTTCCAGAAAAATCAAAAATACCTCAGCATGCCCCTTCAGGTGGACCTCAATCTCCTCCTTCCACAGGAGGAGGAGGTTCACCTGAAGAGTGTCACTGGGCAATTATCTGTAGATGCAATTAGTGTGGAGAAGTATAAATAGGAGAAGGTATTGTATAGAAAAGAAGAGAGAGCGAAGGTAAGACAGATGGGTAATCGGAGGATCTTCACTTACCTCCTAAGGTGTCCTGACTTTGATCCTTCCAAAGAATCCTCCTGAAAAATACCTCCTGGGGAGGATTTGATGGGTTCTTCTTTCCCTCAGGATCTCTGATTTCCACAGTGCAGCACTTCCAATAGGAGGAAGGAAGAAACAGAATTAATGTACATCACACGACGTAAAGTGGATTCCTATATTCGGAACACAACCTCAAAGACCCAATATCCATCAATGTGGTTATGTGAGAAATGTGAGAAAATAATGGAACAATGTCTCACTGTCAGAGAGGTTTGCGAAGGAGGGGTGAAGTATTCAAACAGATTCTCTATTCTCTATTGAACTCTTACCTGCAACTCGATTTGCTCCTTCTGCTCCTCCACCTGGCTCAGGAGGAAGCCTTCCACCAGAGCCACCGCCTGGGAGCTGGTCTCTGCTCCATACTCCCGCACCCAGCTCTCCATCTCTGGGGGCAGAAGAGCCAGGAACTGCTCCAGAACTACCAGGTCCAGCATCTGGGCTTTGGTGTGCTTTTCTGGTCTCAGCCATCGCCTGCAAAAGCCATGGAGTCGGCTGCAAAGTCCTCGGGGACCCTCAGCCTCCCGGTATTGGATGGACGTCCAGGGATGAACTTCTGAAGGGAGGATGGTTTCCTCCTCCAGGATCTTCTGCCTGGTTCTTGTCCAGAGCTTCCCCCCCTTCCCAGGCTGAGCAGCTGAAGGGCCTTTTCCGCTTCCCTCCTTTCCAAAAGGTTGTGTCTCCATCCTTTCTCTGTCCTGCAGAGCAACTGCAAATGGCTCCAAGGACTCTGGTGGGTCTCCAGGTGCCTTTTCCTTCACGGGACCATTTCTGGGGCTGCAGGACTGATCCCTGCAAGGGATTCCGCTCTTTTTCTTCTTCCCCCAAGAGAAAAGTTTGCCTTGCAAAGACCACAAATGGCTTCCAGTTTCTGTATCTGAGATGGGAAGAAAAAATGAATATTAAGAATTAGAAAGTGGAATTCAGCCACTGAGCGACCTTCCCCCAACCTCCCCGGAGCCCCAAGAGGCTCATCCCAGCGCAGGACTGAGGTGCCCCCGAGCAGGGCCGGGAAGGAGGCAGCTGGAGAGGCCGCCCCGCTTCTCTCCCCCTCCGGAGACAGGGAGCCTGGTGCGAATCCTCCCTCCTCCTCGCCCGGCTTCTCTCCGCTCCTGCTGGGCCTCCGCAAGGCCGACCCTCCCCTCCCCCCACTCGGCTCTTCCTCAGACAGGGGGCGGGAAGGGAGCCCCTGTTCCCCCTGCATGGAGAGGGCGGCTGGGGAGCATGGAACCCGGGGTGGAAGCCGGAGGAGGGCCAGGCGAGGGTCTCTCCCTCCTCCGCCTCCCTTTGCCCGGGAAGAGCCCCCAACTCACCCGAGGCACGTCTGGATCTCCCCCCGCCAGACTCTCCGCCTCCTGTGGAGCCCCAGGGGTTAAGGAGAGCGAGTGCGAAGTCCTAGAGCGGCAAGCGTTTGTGATGTCATTTCCTTCCCAGCCTCCTATGGAAAGGCAGCTGTGACGTTCGCCCTCCGCTGGACCAATGGGGAAGCGCATGACGCTACCTTCTTTTAGCAGAGGGATCCCCCTGGTGGATGAGGGGCAAAGTGCCATGATTGTAAAAAGGGCGGGAAAGAAGAGCGCGTCTGAGGGGAAGGGAGAGGGCAGGGATGATGGGCTTGGGAATAGGAGAAAGGCCCCTCTCCATTGCTCCCTGATAGAGAAAGGCTTCAACGTCTCCAGAGGCGGTACTTTCTCTATCTTCCTCTCCTATCCTGTCCAGGAACCGTCTGTGGAGATGAAGAAAAACCTCTCTGGAGGATTTGAACTCGCTTCCCTCAAGGACAGCCGCCCTGAAGGCTCGACAGACATTGTGGGAGGCCTCCAAAGGGTCCAAATCCTGTCAGAAACAGACGGGCGGTCAGAAGAGGAGGACCGGGAGCCTCTGTGGGAAAGACAGCTGGTGTCTTGTGGTTGTTGGGAACTCCCGCCTGAAGGGGAGGCAGATGGGACACAGGCAGGAAAGCCACAATCAGGAAAATGATTTTAATTTATTTATTTATTATTTCTCTAATTCAATACATGCAGCTGCCCTTCCCAAACTATTTGCTCAGCCTCTCAGCAAAGGGGGGAGGAGAAAGAAAGGGACCCCTCCGGTCTCTTCTGATGAAAGAAAAGGAAGATCCTGAAAAAGGAATGGAAAGCTAAACTATGATGAGGAAAAACCATTTTTACATAGGGATTGAGTAGGAAATTCACCTCAAGAAATGTGAAGGAAGCTTAAGTGCCTTGAAGAATTTAAGGCAAGGATATATTATTAGACCATAAATGAAAAGAGAGAAAGAAAAGGAAAAAGGAAAAGCAAACCAAGAAAAGGTGAAGGCTCCATTTCTATGAAAACATTCAACCAGATTTGGAGTCAAGAATGACATACAGAGGTTAGCTACAGTGAGCAAAACAAAATCTAAAAGTATGGAAAAGTGGTTAAAAATCCATTTCAAAAAATGGAAGTAACGTCTGATTTTCCTTTCTGTATCTATTTCTTTTTTTCTCCAGTTTGACATAAAATATTTAATAAGGATATTTGAAAAAACAGCTTCAACCAACCAACCAGCAGCTGAAATATGCCCCCCCACCAAGGTCATCCATACACTTTAGTGGGTTAATAAGTTTTAATGCAACAAAGAAAATTTTATGCATGTTTAGCAACTACTTAATTTAGTTACTTAATTTTAGGTTATCTTAACGTTATGACACACCATAAAAAGAGAAGAAGATGGTGCTAATACTTGAAAAATATTTTTCCCTGTGCATTTGTTTCATCTTACAAGATGTTCACCCTGAAGCTATTCACACACACTCTACATTGACATCTGTCATTATTCCATCACATCATAAGAGGTCTTTGACTGAAAAAGGTTTCCCGCTTCTGCATTCATCCTGGTTGACTCAGATCTTATGCAAGGCACGAGCACTGCCTAGTGAGTGGGTGGGGTTCTTCTGGGGGGGGGGACCTCATGCTGGGACTTTCAAGGGAGTCTTGCAAAGGCCTCATCCAGTCTTTGGAATCCTAGCAAGGGGCAGGGGAAGGCCGTGGCCCCATGTTCCCCTGCCGTCCCTTTGCATCCATCTACGGGGGGTGGGGGAGGGTATGACAAGAGTTTCAGACCATCCATGTTGCTTCCCCCTCCCTAGAAGAAACACAGCATCATCCCCAGGAAGGAGATGTGGGGGAGCACTCCATCTCCCCCCCTCCTCATTGCCAGAATGGGAGGAGAGGGAAGGCTTTGATTACAAAAGGCAAGCAGGACTCCTCTCTGCCCCCAAAATGCGGGGTGGGGGAAGCCGCACAGGTATTTCTGCTATTTATGGTGGGTCAGAAAACCTCGGCTGCCTCTTTGCCAGAAGGGCTCAAAAGGCATAAGCTTTTGGGAGGGGTGGGCACGACAGTGACTCTATGTGATTGGGGGAGTGACACTCCCACCCCAGGTAGGATCCGAAGGGGGCAAAAAGAAGTCCATACTCTCCTCCGGGGCAGCCATGACCCCCCCCTTTGATCTGCCCCCAAGACAGACAGACTTCAGAGAAAACTGCAGAAAAAACAATGGCTACCAATCTGCCTTTCATTGAGGACCTGTATACTGCACGAGTCAAAAGAGGGTTGTGAAAATATTTAGACCCCTCACATCCTGGACAAAAACTTCAACTCTTACCCTCAAAACGACGCTATAGAGCACTGCACACCAGAACAACTAGATACAAGGACAGTTTTTTCTGAACGCCATCACTATGCTAAACAAATAATTCCCTCAACACGGTCAAACTAGTTTCAGTTTGTCAAACAATGTCTAAATCTGCATCACAATCTTCTCATCGTTCCTATCACCCATCTCCTCCCACTTATGACTGTATGACACCAACCTTGTTGCTGGTATCCTTACGATTTATATTGACTGTTTCCCTATGACTATCATTAACTGTTGTACCTTATGATTCTTGACGAATGTACCTTTTCTTTTATGTACACTGACAGCGTATGCACCAAGACAAATTCCTTGTGTGTCCAATCACACTTGGCCAATAAAAAATTCTATTCTATTTATTCTATAACTATCATTAAGTGTTGTATCTTATGATTCTTGATGAATGTATCTTTTCTTTTATGTACACTGACAGCGTATGCACCAAGACAAATTCCTTGTTGTCCAATCACACTTGGCCAATAAAGAATGCTATTCTATTGTAAAAAAAAAAAAAAAAGACTGAAGGGACCTCTCCCATTTTCTCTTCTCTCCTCAGGTGGTTGAAGACAAGGGAGATTCTGCCCACAAACCGATGACGCGGCAGAAGGGAGAATTCTCATTGGTCCTTCCGTTTTTCTGGGCCACTCCCAATCCCAAAGTTCTAAGAAAACTTCTCCCCTGCAATCCAGACCCACCGTTTCCTCCCCAGGGGCTGGAAGCACCTGCGTCTTTCTCCCTCTCTGTTTCGGGGCGCTTGGGCAAAAGCTTCCACGTGCTCTGCTGGGCTCCCCCTGATACTGCTGGCCAGGGGGCTGGTCCAGATCTCTGGAAGCGAAGGAGATCCCCAGTAAGGAGCGAGTTGGGGGGGGGCAGGAGAGGGGCTGGGAAGGGGCGTCAGCTCTCCTTGGGGAAGTGGGGGGGTGGGAGATGGGGAGAGGTGGGGCAGGGAGGAAGGTTATTCAGCCGGTTCCATGAAGTCCCGAAAAAGTTTAGTTACTGGTTCTCCCGAACCGGTTCGAACTGGCTGAATCCCACCACTGCTCCTCCTCCTCTCTCATCATCCTGAGCCCCACTTGCAAAAAAGCCTTCCTTCAGGGGCGGGGTCTGCAAAGAAAGAAAAAAAAAACACCAAAGGTACCCTAAGAAGTTTCAGGAAGAAACCGAGCATGCGCAGGAATCTCTGACCAGTTTGGTGTGTGGGGTTTCAAACGCTGGACCTTGGGGTCCCAAGGGGTGGGGTGATGATGTCACTGAAAAGTTGGCCTCTCTAGGACTTTGTCCCTCCCTCCCCTCTTGGGCTCTTTTTGCTGCAACGTGCAGGAAAGCCTTGCAGGTAATGGGCGCTGCCTAGTGAGGGGGGGGCTCTTTCGTGGGGGGGGGAGAAGCTATGTGCTGGGACTTGCAAGGGGGTCTTGCAAAGTCCTCATACAGTCTTTCGAATCCTAGCAAGGGGGGGGAAGGTCCGACCCCAAGTGTCCCTTTACCTGCATGTAGGGGGGAGGGAGAAACAGAGTTTCAGATCGGCTGTGTTGCTACACCCCTCCCTGGAAGAAACCCAGCATCCCCAGGAAGGAGGAGGGGTTCTGGCCTGGACTGGCTGTGCATCTGTTTAAATATTTTTGGGGAGGGCTTATTTTCAGGGAAACGGTAGAGGGGGCCGTTTGCCAAGCTTCCATTTTGTTAGTACAGCTGGGATTTTACACTAGTTTCCACCAGTGGTGGGATTCAAATAATTTAACCCTCTGCCCTAATGACCAGATGGCTAGGTGTGGCTCGGTGGTCATGTGACAATGTGGGTGTGGCCAACTCAACATCACTCACGTCGATGGGCATTTCACCGTAGCTGTTACAATGTAATAACGGTAAACCAGAGAGGCAGTTTCTATAAGCAGGGCAATAAAGATTAGGCTAGAAACAACACCAGAATGTTTCCTTCCTGCCTTCCTTACAGGATTAGCCCTGTAAAGTGGGAAAAAACAAAATAAGATTTCTTCCAACAACCGGTTCTCCAAACTGCTTAGAAAGTTAACAACCGGTTCTCCCGAAAAGGTGCGAACTGGCTGAATCCTACCACTGGTTTCCACCAGCAACATGAAATAGAGAAATTGAGGTTGATGTGATTGACATGAGCTTAGCCTTCTTCTCAAAACTATTGAGGTGTGATGCCTAAAGTATTTACACTGAAAGATTCTTACTACCGGTAGGAAATCAACTTCATTCTTGCCCAGTTTTGAATCTGGCAAAGAAAGAGCCCCCTTTTTCACTCTGAACTTTTGGGATAGGTCAACCAAGGCGAAGAACATAGACGTTTTTCCTAGGCTGAAACTTGCTTTTCTTCCTTTCTCAGGGTCTTGTCACCATTGAAGACGTCACTGTGTATTTCTCCGAGGAGGAATCGTCTCAACTGGATCCGGATCAAAAAGCCCTTCATAAAGAAGTCATGCTGGAGAACTCCAGAAATGTGGCTTCTCTGGGTAAGTTTCCCTGTTATTAGTTGAAACCCCAAGAAGAGGGATTCTTCCAGGTTTATGGAAATAACCAGTTCTTGTGAACGTATCTCCAATCAAACGAGTAGGTAGCGATGGCGGCGGGCAGTTCGGAGAACCGGTAGCAAAAATCCCTGCCCCTGCCCCCCATGCCCAGCTGAGCTGCGTGATCATCAGAGGCTTTTTTCTCTTTTAAATGACTCTGACCAGCCAAGCTCTGACGATCCCAGCTCTGACGATCTGCTAATTAGCTCTGCTAATCAGGCAACTCAGCTTGGATTGTCAAACCCATTTAAAAGAAAAAAAAGTTTTTTTCTCCCCCCCCCCCAAGCTTGCTTACTTTAGCTGATCGCAACGCAATCCACTGCATCAGCAATCTCCCTGCCTGCAATCAAGCTCATCGGTGAGCAGCTCTATCTGCAACTTTAAGACTTGTGGACTTCAACTCCCAGCAAAGCTGGCTGAGGAATTCTGGGAGTTGAAGTCCATAAGTCTTAAAGTTGCCAAGGTTGGAGACCCCTGTTCTATTGGGTAAGTTTTTTTCCCCTTTGGGAGCTTTAAAAAAATAGTTAATTGGGGTTTTTTTTAGTTGTTCTTTTTTTAGACCTAGCCATTTAAAGTTTAGGAAGTTTTAAATTTAACTGCTTTTATATAAAAATAAAAATAAAATAATATTTGTGCAGCTTTCTGAGATTTAGTGTGTTTCTGTAGTGTTTCACTCTAACTACACAAACACATAAAATCTCACAAAGCTGTATGTGGAATTTTGTGTGTGTAAAATGTGAAAGTTGGTTTTTTGGGCTTTTAGTGGCTTTTGAGGTTCCTGCTTGTTGCGGGGCCATTTTGAGTCTAGCACAGCTGCTTTTACATTGTGGGTGAGCCAGTTGTGTTGTGTTGTGTTTTGTAGGTTAAAAAACGGCAAAGAAGTGACATTGACTCGGCCACGCCCACCCAGTCACCTTACCACCAAGCCCCACCCACTAATTAAGCCACGCCCACAGATTTCACCCCTGGAATACAGGTAACTTACAACCACAATTGAGTCCAAACTAAAACATTTTTAAATTTTTTTTGCAGTTGCCCTTAACAGGATGAAAAGGCGACAGAATTTTCCAGTAAGAATCAGTAAGAAACCAAGATTGGAATCCGTTGTATCAGAAATGGCCTTGGATGATATAAAGCAGTCACAACCACAACAAGCACAACCACTCCAACCACTCCAATTTGGAGAAAACAGCCTGTCAGTTATTGAAATAAATAACGATACCTCCAAAATTGAAAACAGTCTTCCTGAATGCTGGACAATGCAACAATATAACAATTTCAAAGAAAAATATGACGGTTTGGAAATTTCTAACAAAAAGTTAGGTTGCAAGCATTGTGCAAAACATGACTTCCTAAAAATGAAAAATATTCATGTGTCAAAAGAATGGAAACATTTTCAGATTGAGGCAGCAGGGAGAAATAGAGAGGTAAAACAAGCTTCTCTAAGGAAAAAAATGAAAGAACATTTTTCATCAAAAGCTCATAATATTTGTAAAGAGAACATAAAACAAGGCGAGGAGGCTTCAACAGCAAAATATAAGATGAATGAGAAATATATACAAATTATTTGTAGAGTATTTAATACAGTTTACAGCCTGGCACAAAGATGTAAACCATTTTCAGACACAGAAGATGAGATAGAAATGCAAATTAAAAATGGATTAGATATGGGAATAGGATTACATTCACGTAAAACCGCAGTGAAAATAGTTGATTTCATTGCAAGAGAAATTAAAAAACAATTATTTACTAAAATTATTGAAAATAATCTGAAAATATGTTTGATTATTGACGAAGCCTCAACAGTATCTTGCAAACCAGTTGTGATACTTTTCTTAAAAGTTGAGGATTCAGATACATCACCAACGATTTTCCTTGAGCTAATTGAATTGGAAAAACAAGATGCAGAGACAATATATTCTTCAGTCATGCAAAGTTTAAATAATGTTGGGCTTACTAAGAACTATCTAAAAAAAATTTAATAGGATTTTGCTCCGATGGCGCCAGCGTTATGCTTGGGAGAAAATCTGGAGTGAGCACTAGGATAGCAAAAGAGTTTCCAAACATAGTAATCTGGCACTGTTTAAACCATCGCCTCCAACTTGTTTTAGATAATTTGATAAAGGAAATAAAGCAAGTAAATCATTTTAAAATATTTATTGATAAGATATATACTATTTTTCATCAATCCAATAAGAACCAAATTGAACTTACCAAAATATCCGAACAACTTGGAATTGAAATTATAGAAATTGGTAGTATTTTGGGACCACGATAGGCTGCCTGTAGTTTAAGGTCAACCCTAGCTGTGTGGCACGCTTATCCAGCGCTACATCACTGTTTTCATTCAAATGAAAAATACTTAGGTATGGCTGCCCGTCTTGAAAATATCTATTTTATAACTGATTTGGCATTGATGATTGATATTCTAAATGAAATTTCTCTTCTTTCAAATGCACTGCAAGCAAAACATATAGACATAATAAAGGCTGAAGAACTTGCGATAAGATCTATTAAAGCATTTCAAATGCTTCAAAAGGAAAAGGGTCCATACGAAAAAAAAGTTGATGGATTAATTACTTCAGAAACCTTCAAAAATATAAAATTTGTAAAAAATCATCGATTTGTTGGGCTTCCTCGGGAAAGACTTTTAGAAAACATTGTAACGAATTTGAAGAAAAGGCTAATGGATTGTGAACATTTAAAAACAGATTGTAGCCAATTTCAAGACAGGAATAAATTACAGTTTCTCAAATTTTTGGAACCAGATTACTGGAATATTGAAGAAGTAGTAGTTCCATGGAAAGCAGGTGAAGAACAATTGCTCGTATTTAATGTTTTCAATTACCAAATTGATATTAATGATTATCGAGATTTTGTGAGAAATGTGTTTAAAAATTCCCAGAACTATGCAATTCCTAAAAGTGTTCAAAGAGCTAAAAATATTGTCAGAACAATTGCTGTAAGTTCAGCAGAAGCGGAAATGGGTTTTTCAAACATGAACACAATATGTTCAGAGAAGAGAAGTCACCTAAGTGTTTCTAATATATCAAATATAATGACTATTAGTCTAATCGGCCTACCGCTAAAGGAATGGGATCCTACTCCTACAGTGGAAAAATGGTTAAGGATAAATCACACAGCCGATGTTGGCGTTAGTGTTTTTGGACGCCCAAAAGGCATTCGATAACTTGAACTGGAAATTTATGGTCAACCAAATTGACTTAATGGGATTTGGAACAAATTTTAGAAAAATGATTGAAAATATTTACCATAAACAGAGGGTGAGTATTTTAATAAACGGGGACAAGACGCGGATATTTTGGATACAAAAGGGAGTTAGACAGGGATGCCCCTTGTCCCCTCTACTTTTTATAATGGCGCTGGAAATTCTACTTAGAAAGATCAGAGATAACAAAGAAATTAAAGGACTGCAAATTAAGAAAGAAATATTCAAAACACAAGCCTTTGCAAGATGACGTGGCCTTAATAACAGAAGATCCCTTGAAATCTGGCCCCAAATTACTCCAGGAAGTACAACAGTATGGAGAAGTCGCCGGCTTTAAACTTAATAAAACAAAAACTAAAATTTTAGCAAGAAACATGACAGAGGCAAATAAGAAAGAGCTAGAAAATTCCTTAGATCTTCAGATAGTGAAGAAAATAAAGTACTTGGGAATATGGATCACCTCAAGATATTCCTCTTTAAAGGAGGATAACTACATCCCATTATTACAAAAAATAAAGCAGGATATAGACAGATGGAAGAAGTTAAAATTATCTTTTACAGGTAAGATCTCAGCAATTAAGATGAACATTCTCCCCAAAATTATATTTTTATTCCAAACTATACCAGTGAATCTCGATAAAAAATATTTCCTGAATCTGAAAAAGAAGGTGCGAGAATTTTTATGGGAAGGGAAGAAGGCGAGGATTGCATACAAGACACTGCAAGGGAAAAGAAACATGGGTGGCTTTGGATTACCTGATTGGGAAGTATATCAGAAAGTGGCTAAACTAGTATGGATCATAGAATGGGTTACATTACAAAACAAGAGAATCTTGACGTTAGAAGGCCACGATCTACAGGCAGGCTGGCATGCCTATTTATGGGATTTAAAGAACAAAAAAAAAAAAAAAGAAGATTTCCATAAACACAAATTAAGGGAGACCCTTATTCAAACATGGGAAGAAATTAGGCAACGATTTTATGTGAAAGTGCCAAATTGGCTTTCAATCATGGAGGCCCTGACGGCCTCAAATAAAAGATACTTTGAAATTCGGCACGTATAAAGACATATTAGATGATAATGGTATCTTTAAATCACGGGAAACATTAAGAAATCAAGGCTTCAATTTAGACTGGTGGAGCTATCTACAGATAAGCTCAAGATATCAAAAAGATAGGGATCTTTTTGAGGCGAAGCACAACAATTTGGACAAAATTATGTTGGGGATTGAAAAGAAAATGCTAGCGAAATTTTACAACTTTCTACTAGGCGGGGACAGGGCAGAAGAAATAGCTAGAAATCAATTAAATATTTGGGAAAAAAACATTGGTTATAGGTTAAATTTCAATGACTGGGAGGAGGCCTGGAACAGAAACTATAATCTGACTAAATCAGCAATTTATAGGGAGAACCATTACAAAATTTTCCATAGATGGTATCTAGCGCCAGCTAGATTAGCAAAAATATTTCCCAGTGCTTCAGCAATATGTTGGAAGTGTGGAAAGGAGGTTGGCACCTTCTTTCATATGTGGTGGTCCTGCCCCGAGACAAAAAAAGTTTTGGACAAAAATACGAAACTGGTTACGGGAAATAGTGGAAGAAGACATAGAACTTTCCCCTGAAATCTTCTTATTAGGAATGATCGGAGATGGACTTTCTAAAGATAAGATACATCTTATAATACATGTCATAACAGCGGCCAGGTTAATCTTTGCAAAATACTGGAAAGACAAACAAACCCCTCCAGAGGTGATAATAAACAAAATCCTAGAATGCGCAGAAATGGCAAAATTAACAAGTGTTCTTAACGATGATGTGAATTCAAAATTCAAGGCAGTATGGGAAAGGTGGTACAAATGGTGGAATAATAGAACGAGATTGTAAGGATATGTCTATTTTCAATAATGGTAGATTCGAATGTAATCGATAGGTATATAATGTATATAACGTAAATATGTAATTACACGACACCTCAGATGTTAACAGAGATTTGATGTTTTCTTTTTAAAAAATTTTTTAAAAATCAATAAAGTATATTAAAAAAAAAAATCACATGGCCGATGATGCTCAATTGAAAATGAAGAAAATTGCAAGTGACGCCAATCGAAAAGCAATATGGAAATATCTTATGTAACAGTTCTATTAGTTTTTATCAGGTATTATGTAATAGTTTTTCATTAATATTTAAAAACTCTTATAACAAAATCTAGTTTTCTGTACTTCTTTTATTGTTCTCATTTAAGTGTCAACCCTGAAGTGAACATAGCTGAGGTCATTTTAGAGGCTTTAGGGCTGACACACAACAGAGGGAGTGGGGAAATAGTTAGATGGGGTTTTGTAACTAAAATAAAGCTTTCCTGTGGAACCCAAGGAATGCGCACAGGTGGCTGGTCAGGAGGAAGAAAGTAACCAAGCAACCAGCCATCTCTAACACCACACCATACACACACACCCCAAAAAAGTGAGTGGAAATCTCTGTGTGTCTTATAGATCGAATATTGCAGCGGGGGTGAGGGGAACACTGAGCAGCTGATTGGCAGTTGGATCAGCCTCCCAGAATGCTGCCAATCAGCTGTTCTAGGTGCCAAATGTTGGCAGAGGTGATCGGCGGCAGTGAACGGGCAATGGCGAACGGATGGCAGTGATCCCTGCCAACTAGAACATCTGATCAGCTGTATTCTTGGAGCCCAATCCAACCGCCAATCAGCTGCTGACGAGCTATATACTGGAGCTGCAATAATGTGCTGAAGCTGACCAGGCTGTTTGCTTCTTGGTGCAAGGACGCTAGCCAGATGAATACGGATGGATGCTGGGAGGAAGAGGCAGATTTTTTTTTCTTGTTTTCCACCTCTAAAACTAATGTGCGTCTTATACACCGGAGCATCTTATAGTCCGAAATATACTTTATCCCAAAGTCAGATGTACACTAAATGTAGACTGACTTTTAGCTACACATCTTCCTAGCAAACAGCAAATTTTGAAGCTCCAGGTAAAGAGGATTCATTTTAGGATGAGTAACCAGAGATTGCATGTTGGAGGTTCCTAAAGGAATGCTGGGAAACTGTATTTTAAAGAACATTTGAGGGAGGGGTTCAGAATAGCTCTTCTCTGCCTGAAGCTGTAGAAACCTGGCACCAAACAAAACACTGTTTGTGTAGCAACTGATCAACACTGACAGGGTAAGCCACTAGCACAGTGATGGCTAACCTTTTTGCCATTGCGTGCCAGGAAAGGGAGTGGGTGGGGGAGGTTTGCGCGTGCATGTGCCCACACCCATAATTCCATGGGGCCCCCCTGCGCATGCAACCCCCCTTCCCCTCGCTCCTGGCACGCGATGGCCTGATAGGCCTGTTTTTTTTCTTACCTGGCTCCAGATCCTCTCTATGCATCTGCAGAGGGCAAAAACAGCCTTTCCCACTCCCTCGGAGGCCTGAAAGTGCCCATTTCCCAACTCTTGGTGGAACAGGAAGTGACGTTTTTTGCTGTCCCCAGCCTCCAGAACCTCTCTAGGAGTCTCTGGAGGCTGGGGACAGCAAAAAACGTCACTTCCTGTCCCACCAGGAGTTGGGAAATGGGCCTGTTTAGGCCTCCGGAGGGTCTCCGAGGAAGTGGGAAAGGCTGTTTTCGCCCTCCGCAGATGCATAGAGAGGATCTGGAGCCAGGTAAGAAAGAAAAACGGGCCTTCCCCACCCACCCCCAGGCCCTCCAGAGGTAGGAAACAGGCCGTTTCCCTACTTCTGGTGGGCCCAGAAGGCCCAAAAATCAGCTGGCCGGCGCGCGCATGCACCCCAGAGCTGAGCTGGCATGTCCACTGATATGGCAATGCATGTCACAGGTTTGCCATCACGGCACTAGTATATGAAAATAAGAGCAAACTCGGACTTCCGCTTGGCTCCGCAAGGTTTGAAGACGCTCTTTTACGAGCGCCCGATCCCTGGTTCCGTAAAAGCCCCAGAACAGCCGAAAAACTGCTGTCTGGAGGCTTGGAACCTTCTCCCCGGGCAAAGGGGAGAGAGAAGAGTCAACAGGCGGAGGTAGAGCCCCCCAAGTGCGCTAGGAGAAATCTTGGGGCGCAAAGGGTGTGGGCTCCCTATTGAAGCCTGTCAAGCAACTCCGGACCAGAGACGACTCCGCTAAAGCGGAGCTAGAAGCTGCGACCAAAATCTGCTGAAAATCAATGGGGGGACTTTTAACATCTTTACTTTGATAGCAGACAGAGCAAATCAGGAGAAAACAAAAGGAAACTTGCAAGTAACACTTTAATTCCGTTTTAAAATGCAGAAAATGGCACCTGAAAGCGGGAGGAGGAATTTACCAGGGAAAGTGCTCGTTAAGGCTTGTTAACGTTTGCAACAGTGATACAGCTACTGGATTACACCCTAAGAGAAAGTTTTAAAGTGGAAGCGGCCAGGAAAAGAATTTGGTATTGAGGAAAAGAATTTGGTACTGACTTTAACTAAAATCTGGTTTTTATACTGTGTGGAAAAGAGTTGAATTGTTGTCCTGATAGCTGTATAAATACAAAGTGGCTGAAATATGGCTGACAACAGGGCTGGTGAATCAGCAAGTTCCCAAGCCGTGACTGTCCAGGCTTTTCAAGAACTTCTAGACTTTTTTACTTCAGCCCTGTTGGATACAATCGAAAGGGCTTTTTCAAAAAACAGTTCGGGAAAATATAAGCAGTTGTTAGAGGGACAGCAGGAAATTTTTCAGAGGAATTTGTTTATGGAAGATCAGGAGATGGACAGGATTAAGAGACTGGCTGGTACAGTTGAAACAAAGGTTTTGGTGGACGTTTCCATTCAAATGACAGAAAAGCAACAAATAGTTTCTTTATTCCAAGCTGACTATCTTTATGGCAACAAATTTTGGCTATATGGATAAAGAAATGGATTGAATGATTATACAAGCAAGAAGAGACGAAATGGGGATTTCAAGTTAGAAAAAGCGATCTCAAGAAGAGAACAAGTATTTCAGAAACATCAACCTCAAATCACCATTTTAAAAGTTTCAAAAATAAAACTGGGGGGACTGCGCTTAAGACGTTCCTTTTCCATCAAGCTGGCCTGACCTAAATTTTTCCTCTTTTTAAATGGAATTTTAAATTTGGTTTTAATTTATTGGGGTTTTAAAATGGTTCAGCCAAATTTATTTAATTAGTTTTATCTCTATTTTAAATTTTGTATCTATATGTTTTATTTTACGGCTGTTCACCGCCCTGAGTCCTTCGGGAGTAGGGCAGTATACAAATTTAATAAAATGAAATGAAAATGAAATGAAATGTTGAAAGAATTTATAAAAAAAAAGGATTGGAAAAAATATAGAAAGAAGAGAAGAACAGAAGATTAAGAAAGATATCTTCCTGTGGATTTTGAAATTGGCATCGGGCAAATATGTGTTTTAATGGTATTAAGAGATTTTTAAAATGTTTAACATAAGGTTATATTATTTTACAAGATATATGAGATAAATTGTATAAGCTTTTAAGATGTCTAACCCTTTGAAGCGAAGAGGATTAATGTTAAATTCAGAATTTTATTGCAAAATGATAATTAGTTCTGGATAGTTAAGGGCTGCTCTCTAAAAAGTTAGAGGTATTAAGACGGTTAATTGAAAAATTGAAAGACACCCTCCTGTAGATTCTGAAATTTATATTTGGTAAATAAGTGTTTTAAAGGTATTAAGAGATTTTTAAAATGCTTAATATAAGACTATATTATTTTTGTAACACTGCTAAAGTATCGGATTATACATCAAGAAAAAGTTTTTTTTTTTATAAGTAGGAAGAATGAATTTAATTTAATTGGTTTTGAGAATTTATAAAAGGGAGGTTGATGAATTGGAGCAAAGGGAGTTAAAGAACATGTGGGAGCTTTGAACTTTATAATTTGTTAGTTTATTTTAGCATATGTTTGTTAGATGCTATACCCTGTTTTTGCTCTGGGAAGTCAGGGTGGGGGTGGGGAGGGTGGGATAAGGGATGGGGGGGGAAAGTGGTGAATAGAGAAATGTTTTAGCAGAAGAAAGTATATTCTATGAGTAGAATACAGGAGTTGCTCAGACACTAAAGGAGGAAAATATTTCACAGCAAAGAAGTTAGAAAGGAGAGAGGAGGAGGGGGTAGGAAGAGGAGAGGGAGGGTGAGGAATGGAAGAAAGGAGAGGAGGAAGGGAAGGGAAGGGGACACGAGTAGGAGTGAAGATGAGAAGGGGGAAAAGAAGAGAGAAGTGGGGGAAAGGGAAAGGAAGTAGGATGAGGTGGGAGAAGAGGTAGGAGAAAGTAGGAGAGAAGAGGAGGGAGGGAAAGGAAAGAAAGGAGGAGAAGAAGAGGGTTTGTTGTGGAATGAGGGAAGAAAGAGAAGAGCAACTCCGAATGTAATTAAAATGTCTTATTTTAATGCTTTCTTTAAGGGAAACATGTATATGTAGGATTTCTTATGTATAAGAAAATGTACAATTTATGTGGGGAAGGGGAAAGGGGGGGAGAAAATTGTTTGTATTTCTTATAAAACTTTTCAATAAAAAAAAAGAAAAGAAAAGAAGAGCAATCTCCACTCCCTTCTAGTACTGATGATGTTACCTAGTTTGGTAATGAAACATCTGCAAAAAAACCATCAAGCTCAGAGAGCACCAAGGACCTCACAGTTCAACCCTGAGCTACAAATATTATCTTCTCTCGATAAACACTTTTTGGTTAGAGGGCTCCCAGTGGATTTCATTCTAAATGTTGGTATTGTTTCTGTAAATAAGGAATTTAGAATTACAATGGCTGAGTATTTGATCCTTCATACATCCAAAAATACAAAGCTAGGGGATAAACAAATAAAGAACATTTGAAATAAAAAAGGCTCAGGAAAGAAAGAGTGAAAGTGAAAGAAAGATAGAGGAAAAGAAGGAAAACTGAAAAAGAATGAATTCCAACTTTCTTTGGTACAGATATAAGTAAAAATATATCAAACTCTTACTCTAAGATTAACATTTGTCTACATTATTTCCATAATCCCATAGCTAATCATCAAAGCCCAGATCAGTGGTTCCCAAACTTTTTCAGCCCACCGCCCCCTTGGTACTACAAACTCCTCCTCAGTGCCCCCCACCCAGAGGTGGGTTCTACTTACCTTTACTACCGGTTTGCAGCAGGGCCGCT